ACACACACACACACACACACATACACATTGTCACAATGACACATTCTCTCTCTCTCTCTCTCTCTCTCTCTCTCTCTCTCTCTCTCTCTCTCTCTCTCCTCTTTTGGGAAGAATCGTTTGAAACTGCAAATATATGTGAGAGCAAAGTAACATACAGAGTCATGATACTGTAATGATTCATAATTACAGACATTAAATGTTTTAATCATTTTACATTTGTGTTTCTCAAAAGGCAGCTTGAAAGTCTCAGTTTTACAGTGTACCTTCCACCTGTATTGCATGTCCGGCCCCTCTTTTTCTTTTTGTGGTTCTGGGGATTGCACACTTGCACATGCTAGGCTAGAGCTCTACCACTGAGCTGTGCATCTAGGCTGCCTCTCTCTTGAGATCTCCCCAGAATGAGGTGTGGAATTACTGATTGCTCACAGTGTGATAGGGAAATAAGCAAGAAGTGATACATTTTCTACTTTTTTGAGCAGAATAGTAGTTCTGGGCATGAATGTTTTCAGTCAAGGAAGCACCTAGCCAGGTATGGTGCCATAATCCCAGCATTTGGGAGGCTGAGGCAGGATGCTACAAGTTCAAGCCAGCCTGGGTTACAGAGTGCATTCAAGGCCAGCGTGAACTACATAGTGAGACCCTGTCTCAACAAAACAATAAAATAAGCAAACAAAAACCCAGAGACCATGAAAGTGGGAAGGTTTCTGTCCATTTGCTGGGAATGGTGGCACATACCTATAATCCCAGCACTTGAAAAGCTAAGGCAAGAGGACTGCCATGAGTTAGAGGTCAAACCTGGCCATAGGGCAAGACTGTCTAAAAAAAAAAAAAAAATAGAAACAAAACATTTTCTTTACAGTGTTACTTATTTGATTGGACACACATTTTTATTTATTTATTTATTTATTTTTGGTCTTTTTGAGACAGGGTCTTGCTATGTAGTTCAGATTGGCCTTGAACTTACTTCGTAGCCCAGGCTGGTCTCAAACTCGCAACAATCCTCTTACCTCAGCCTCCTGAGTGCTGGGATTATAGGCTTGAGCCACCATGCCCGGCTGGACACACATTATTTTATAAAGTGTTTGAGTCTCCATATAGCCACAGGTCCAGCAGTGGGCAGCGTAGAATGTCCTGTGACCAGTGCTGCCTTGTGGCCTAGTGTCCAGTGTCCACGTGCTCCTGCCCATTGCCCCTCTTGTTGGAGTCGTTTCCCTCCGTTCTCAGGAGAGACTCCTCAGAGAAAGCACATTTGTCTGGATCTGTCAGGCACCACCTGCGTCCACTGACTGGAAAATCGTTCGTCATGGCTCCCTAAAATGTTGTGGCTAGTTTAAGTGGTCCTTTTGGTGCCGTTTGGAAGTGGCTTTTGATGCTAGAGGATCTAATTTAGCATTGACAGGTGTGGCCATGATCCATAGTCATACATACACCCATCCATCCCTCAGCTATTAGTTTTCTCTTTTTGAATTGTATGAGCGTGCTTATTTTTCTGATTGTGGACTTCCTGAGGTGTGATATACATTTTATTATACAGGCTTTACATTTCCTCATAACTTGGCTTTCTTTTTCTCCTAATAACTTGTTATCTGGGCCTCGTACTTTCAGTTTACATCCGTTACACATGTATTCCTTAGTACTACTGTATCTTGGGCCATTGTCACAGTGATTCATTGTTTTAAGGCCACCAAAACTGGCCTTCAGCTTGTGGTCTCCTGCCTCAGCCTTCTTAGTGTTGGGATGACAGGGCTGTGCCCCCATACCTTGCTGACACAGTGGTTCTTAATCAGGGATGTGTATTATTACCTAAGACACTTTCAAAAATACACTTTCATCCCACCCTAGAATTTTAGAATCAGTAATTTTTGTTTGTCTTTTTGAGACAGGGTCTGTCTGTGCAGTTCAGGCTGTTCTTGAACTCACTTTTTTTTTTTTTGTCTTTTTGAGACAAAGTCTCCCTAAGCAGTTCAGGCTGGCCTTGAGCTCACTTTGTAGCCCAGGCTGGCCTCGAACTTGCAACAATCCTCCTGCCTCAGCCTCCCAAGTGCTGGGATTACAGGCGTGCACCACTGCCCAGCTAGAATCAGTAATTTTTAAATAGGGCTTGGACACACACATATATATTTTTAAGCTCCCTGAGTTATTCTGATACGCACCTTTGTTAAAAGTCACTGTGGTTCTGGAAGTGTCCTGTCTCACTGGAGAGCCTACACTTGGCCCATACAGTGGGTCAGTCCTTTGAAGCATCATGGTTACACTACCAGGGTAAACTAAGTGCTGCAAGTGTCCCTGTTGCAGCCTGGCGTCTAGTAGGTTGCCTTGCGCTCCCTCTGAGCCAACCTTTAGGATTCATAAGGACGCGTCTCCACTAGGCTGGTCCTCCTTGAGACCCATTTCATTTCTCACAGGCCTCTCAGGTTTCACTTACTTAAAACAAAACCCTTCCGTACCTCCCTACCCCACCGCCACCAGGAAACAGCAAAACCCCTCAGTCTTCTCTGTCTTTGGAGATCTATCCACTTTGTCTGCCAAAAACCTGCATGCTTTTTTGGTTCTTGCCTTTCCTTCAAACTCTATGTCTAATCTGTCAGGTACTCCTGTCAGTTTAGTCCTGAAGTGGCTGTCTCATCTGAGTATTTCCTTTCCATCTTCACTGTCACCGCTCTAATCCAAGCCATCACATTAGAAAACCCTTTCCCCTTTTTCCTTTTCCTGCTTTTTTGTTTGTTTTGAGACAGGGTCTCACTATGTAGTGCAGGCTGGCCTTGAACTCACTTATGTAGCCCTGGCTGGCCTCTAACTCATGGCATCGTCCTGCCTCAGCTTCCTGAGTGCTGGGATTGCACCTGGTAAAAAATCTTCTTACACCCAATGAAAAATCCTTTTCTTAATGGGAAAAAAAATCAAGCATAAGCAGCAGAGAGAATAGTGTCATGAACCCCCATGTACCCGTCATTCAGCTCAACTCGTGGCTAGTCTTGTTTCATCTACTACCTCTCCTGCTGAGGTCATTTTAAGTCCAACTGAGACATGTCACACCATATCATATGTGCGTTTTGTGGGTTTTTTTTTTTGTCTTTCTGAGACAGGGTCTCGCTATGCAGTTGAGTCTGGCCTTGAGCTCATTTTGTAGCCCAGGCTGGTCTCGAACTTGCAACAATCCTCCTGCCTCAGCCTCCCGAGTGCTGGGATTACAGGCATGCGCCACCACGCCCGACTCATATGTGCAGTTTTGATACGTATCTCTAAAAGGTAACAAATTGTGGCATTTAAAAATATGGATCAAGCCGGGCGTGGTGGCGCAGGCCTGTAATCCTAGCACTCGGGAGGCTGAGGCAGGAGGATCGTTGCCAGTTCGAGACCAGCCTGGGCTACAAAGTGAGCTCAAGGCCAGCCTGAACTACATAGCGAGACCCTGTCTCAAAAAGACCAAAAAAAAAATATGGATCAAGCCAGTGTGATGGCATGCACCTGTCACTGTAGCACTTGCAAGGCTGAGGCAGGAGGTTAACCGTGTGAGTTCAAGGGTAGCCTGGACTATCTTGCAAGACCCTGTCAAACAAACAAACAAATAAAAGCAAGTGGATCAGATCATGTACCTCTGCTTATGGCCATTTACATTAAAGTCCACAGTATTTACTATAGCTTTTAATCCTTATGTGTATGGCCTTTGATCCTGTCTCCAATCCCGTTTTACACTTCTTTCCCTCTCCTGAGTTCTTTCCACTGTGAGTTTTCCACTTCCTTGGCCCCACCAGCTGGTTCCTTTTGCTCTAGGCCTACGCACACCCTGTCACTTCTTCCCAGTCAGCTCTTCCCTGCTCTTCACGTGGCGGATTCTGTCTTGTCCTTTACTCTGCGGCTCAAACGCCACCTTTTCTGAGAGCTTTTCTCTGATTCCTCTTTACCATTAATTCCCTCCTAATTCTGTCCCTTATGCCCTGCCATTCCTTCATGACACTTACTGAGTTGGAAATTGTTTATTGACTTACTGCTTGCTTTTACTTTGCTTTGTTAGAATGAGGACAGACCTTTGTCTTGTATCCTTAATACTTAGAATCTGACTATGTTGCGTGTAGGTGTGCAATAAATATATGCCAAATGAATGAGTGAACTTGCTATCTAGGGGTCTTGGCTTGACCATAGTTGAGAGATGGTGAGAGTGAATAAAAGCATTTTAGTTAGAATGTACATCAAACTATAGATCTGATGTCTTTCCTTATTGCAATGTGTCCAATTTCTTTCAGGCTGCCTTTGATACTGGTTGGGAACAAATCTGATCTGGTGGAATATAGTAGTATGGAGACCATCCTTCCTATTATGAATCAGTATACAGAAATAGAAACCTGTGTGGAGGTATGATGGATTCATCATTTGTTTTGGAAATTTATTGTTGGTGAATTCTCAGTAATTTGAGGTTCTGAATAGGAGGGTGACGGTATAGATTGGGATAAATTTTCTGTTGTTTTTGAAGTGATGTAGCTGGGCGTGGTGGTGCACACCTGTAATCTCAGCATTCTGGAGGCTGAGGCAGGAGGATAATTGTGAGTTCGAGACCAGCCTGGGCTACAAAGTGAGCTCAAGGCCAGCCTGAACTGCATAGTGAGACCCTGTCTCAAAAAAAAAAAAGTGATGTAAATCAGATAAAACACCTAACTTAGAGTTGTGCTCTAAGCTTTTTGTAAGCATTCGTATTATGATGTCCACAGAGTATAATTAATTGTCATTTTTTTCAAGGCATGTTATTGTTACTGTATGTTAATAATCAAAATTGTTAAAATTTATTTTGGAGTATATAAAATTTTAAACTTTTTTTTTTCAGTGTTCAGCAAAAAACCTGAAGAACATATCAGAGCTCTTTTATTATGCACAGAAAGCTGTACTTCATCCTACAGGGCCCCTGTACTGCCCAGAAGACAAGGAGGTACCTTCAGGCTGTTTCTGGGGACTGGGATGCGGAGGGAAGCTCTGGGAGGTGGCGGCTCTTGGTAGCTCTCATGTATGTTTTGTGCAGGTAAAGCCTCCCAAATTGAAATGTATTGTTTGAGAAATTGTTGTATTTTCTATGTACTTTTCTTCCATGAAATTCACAGTAAATACACAGGATGCTTTCCAGGTTAAATATTATTTCAGGAAGTGGCATTAAAGCAAACAGAAGTATTCGCAGCAACCAAACATCCAAATGTTTAGCTAATGATCTACTTTGTGGCAGAATCTGTCAACTTAAAAACAATCACAAAACTTGTGTAGTTGTTTTGTTTCATTTTTTGGTGCTGGTGCTTAAACCCAAGACCTTGCACATGCTAAGCATACACTCTATCACTGAGCTACACCCCTAGACCTTGTATGGTTTGTAGGCATGTATACAATATGTAATAAATTTGGTATCTAAAATTAAAGAACATTTTAGGCCAGGCGTGGTGGCGCACGCCTGTAATCCCAGCACTCAGGAGGCTGAGGCAGGAGGATCATTGTGAGTTTGAGACCAGCCTGGACTACAAAGTGAGCTCAAGGCCAGCCTGAACTACATAACGAGACCCTGTCTCAAAAAGACAAAAAAAAAAAAAAAAAAAAGAGACCATTTCACCATAGACTTAAAAAAACTGAACACATATTTTACACAGACTCATATACCCACGAAATGTACCCCTTCAAAGTATACAATTCAGTGTTTTGGGTTTGTTTTTTTAGTAAATTCACAAAGTTATGTAATCACTATCTAATTCTAGAACATTATATCACCCCTGAAAGAAACTCTCCCAATTAGTCCCCAAATCCTCTCTACCCTAACTCCTGGCAACCACTGATCTACTTCCCTTTTTTTTTTTGGTCTTTTTCAGACAGGGTCTTGCTATGCAGTTCGTGCTGGCCTTGAGCTCACTTTGTAGTCCAGGCTGGCCTAAACTTGCAGCAATCCTCCTGCCTCAGTCGCCCCTCCCCAATGCTGGGATTACAGGTGTGTGACACCACACCCAGCTTGATCTACTTTCTATCTTTAAGGTTTTGTCTCTTCCAGACATTTCATAACAATGGAATCATCCAGTATGTGGCCTTTTGTTTGTGGCTTCTTTTACTTAGCATAATGTTTTCAAGGTTCATCTATGATGCGGTATGTATCAGTTTCATTTCTTTTTATTTTTTTGTCTCCCCCCGCCCCCGCCCAAACTCATGGTGATTCTCCTGCTTCAGCCTCCCAAGTGCTGGAATTACAGGCGTGTGCCACCACATGCTTATTTTTTAATTTTTATTTATTTATTTTTTGTGTGTGGTGCTGGGGAACGAACCCAGGGCCTTGTGCATGCAAGGCAAGAACTCTGCCACTGAGCCACATCTCTAGCCCCTCATTTCTTTTTAGGGTCAGAAAATATCTCTGTGTGGATGCACCAAACTTTTTCTACCCTCTTACCTGTTGGTAGACATTTATTTCCCCTCCGGCAATTATGAATAGCCCTTTGAATGTTCACATACACGTTTTTTTTGAAACATTTATTTTCAGTTCTTCTGAGTTTATATTTAGGAGTGGAATTACAGAATCACTTGGTAATTATATGTTTACGTTATCAAGGAACCCACTAAATTGTTTCCACAGTGGTCTGGCCATTTTACATTTTCACTGGCAATATAGGAAGATTACAATTACTCCATATCTTTGCTGGCATTTTTATTTTAGTTTTTTTTAGTTTTTTATCATCATAGCAGATGTAATTGATATCTCATTGTAATTTTGATTTGCATTACCCCGATGGCTAATGATGCTGAGATTTTTTTCATGTGTCTATTGGCCATTTATGTATCTTCTTTGGAAAAGTACGTGCTGTGCTGTATTTTATTCAGACCCTTTGCCCTGCCCCACCTCTTTCTGTAATATTGAGGATCCAACCCCAGGTGCTCTTCTACTGAGCTATATCCTCAGCCCTTTTTAAAATCTTGTTGTGAGATGGGATCTTGCTACATTGCCTGCTTCAGACTCCTAAATGGTTAGTATTATAGGTGGGCACTCCTAGGCACAGGCAGTTTAATTTTAGATAAGGTTGGGCACATTCAGGGTGGTATGGCCACAGATGGTAATTTACTTTTAATTGAGTATTTCCTAAATTTGTCTCATAAGAGTCACTAAGTGTACTTGTTACAAACTCATCCCATTCTGATTCAACCAGACACTAGTTTATAATCAAGGAAATTTGGATAATACTTCTGTACTGTAGGGATTTACCTCAGACAGTTTAGTGTAGCAGTACATTAAATTCTTGTTAGTGTGCTCTCAATTCTTTAATAGCTGCTTTGTTTCAGGCCTATTATTAGTTCTGCTAATCTGCTAATCCCCTGACCCCTCCCCTAGTCCCTCAAGAGTAAAGCATCTACCACCATCTGTTACTCATTTCTTAGGTGCACTTGACTGATAGTAAAATTTTGAGTTATACTGTACCTTGTTTTATATATGTACAAGCGTCATCTGTTCTTATACCAGAGTCTTTTATTTAGACAATAATATGCTGTTAACACAGTTTTGAGGTAGAGTCATCAAAAAAGTCATATTCAAAATGAAAGCCTCAGCTGTAAATTCCAGCCATGATGAACTCTATGACCTGTGTTGTTTGTAGCTTACCTAATAGTGAAAAAGATGTGACTGTTATGTAATAGTAATGCTTACTAGGTGAGGCTTTAACTCATATACAAAAAGTTTTATTACTATAGAAATTGTTTACAGTTTTACTGAGATAGAATACTTCATACTTTTTTTCTTTTTTTTTATCTTTTTGAGACAGGGTCTTGCTATGCAGTTCAGGCTGGCCTTGAGCTCATTTTGTAGCTCATGCTGGTCTCAAACTCACAATGATCCTCCTGCCTCAGCCTCCTGAGAGTGCTGGGATTATAGGCATGTGCCACTATGCTCAGCTCTTAACACTTATTAGTAGTCATTTTTTGGTTTATATTTTAAAGTGGTTAACACTTTAAAAGTCACATTGAGCCAGCACCTTAGAGCACTTTAGCTTCTGATGCATCTCAGGCCTTTTTTTTTTTTTTTTCTTTTTAGTACCCAGTATGGAACTCATAGCCTCACGCTTGCTAGGCAGGCAGAGTGCCACTGAGCTATATCCCCAGCTCACATCTCAAACTTTGATGACAAATGCATCAGTTTTTTTGTTCTTAAATTATTTATTAACGTAGCCTTGTATTATGTGAGTAAAAATCACTTGCACAAAATGAAAAATTATTTTTAGTTTTTAGTTGTGTATATTGTTCTAGCCATTTAGACTTTTGGGAAGTTTAGATTATTGTATAACAGATCTTAAAAAGAGAACGAAATATATTAATGTAATATTTATTATTTATTAATCCTGAATGTCTAATGTGAGAGTCACATGTATAGAAGCAATGTATTGTCTTGACTTATTTAAAAAACAGGTGACTCATGATTTTAGATGTTATATAGTCCACTTACTACTCTTGTTTTTTTGTTTTATGAAAAAATAAAACAAAATTTCGTAACGAAATAAGAATAACAATAGTTAATACATTGTGCATTGTTATCTTTAAAATAGACTACAAGATGTAAATCAAAAAGATTCTTGTGAAAAAAGAAATAGCTAATAACACAAAACTGTCTCTTCCATGAACGAAGATAAACTAGTAGCATAAGTGAGAGTGTTTAGCGTATATATAAAAACACTTTTAAAACAATGGCGTATATAATTTGGAAGAATTTGAACTTTCTCCCTACTTCCTGTTTCTCTTCTACCTTGCTCTTTTTAAAAAAAATTTATTTATTATTATTATTATTATTATTATTATTATTATTGGTTTTTTTTTTTATGTATGTGGTGCTAGGGATCAAACCTAGGGCCTTGTGCATGCAAGGCAAGAGCTGTACCACTGAGCCACATCCCCAGCCCCTACCTTGCTCTTTATTTGAATATATATTTTATGTTTCTCATAGAAGAGAAACCATGTGATATTTGAACATGTGTGTCTGACTTACATGTTCTCAGTTGCATGCATTTGCATACTTATACCTCAGGTTTATCTTTCTGTGTATCAGGGTGGTGCTCCATTGTGTGTGAATGCCGCATTTTCTTTATCCACTCGTCTGTGCTGTTTCTAAGACCTGGCTATTGTAAATTGTGCTCCTGTAAACATGGGTGTGCATGTTACCCCTGTAATACGATGACTTTTAGCTTCAGAAGATCCCTGGAAGGGAGACAGCTGGGTCAACACTCAGGGCTCTCATATAGGTAGCCCTAGCCAATCCTCTCTAAATAGTTGACTGATTTTTCTTACATTTTTCTCATCTCTTTATATTTTACAGTTTTTTCTCACTCTGTCAAATTGCTGTCCTAGAGACTCATTTAAAACAAAATAAAAATTTTTATTTCCTTTCCTATTTTTTTCTGATTCTTTTGTTTGTTTGCTTTTTTTGAGACAGGGTCTCACTCTGTAGTTTAGACTGGCCTTGAACTCCCTGTGTGCCCAAGCTGGCCTCAAACTCTTGGCGATCCTTCTGCCTCAATTTCCCAAGTGCTGGAATTACAGGCGTGTGCCCCCACGCCTGGCATTCCTTTCTTTTTCTTTTTCTTTTTTTTTTTTTTTAAGAATTTCTTTTTGGCATTTCAAATTGACAGTATGGTCAAAGCTGTCATTGTTACCATTTTGCTTTGGGTAGCCGTATAGCTGAAATTCCAATTTAATAATTACATATTTTCTCACTTTGCCATCTCATCTCTCTGATTGAGATACGTCTGTAAGAGATACACTTTAAGTTTAAACTTGAAGGACCTTCCTGAAAGTCTTTTTTTGTTGTTTTTGTATTGCGTGGTGTTAGGGGTCAAATCCCGGACTTCACACATGCTAGGTAAAAACACTTTCCCACTGAGCTACATCCTCAGCCACTGAAAGTTTTTTCATACTCAAATTTGTTGGCAGTGATTATCTGATACTCTTACAGAAGCATGTTGGGAAATAGATATTCTATCCTTTATATAACCTGAAACAATTAAGAAGCTATCAAAATATATCAATATTACTTATAAAAGCTTACAGACTGTCAAAAAATAAGGTTTTTTACACTTCTTTTCCTTTTTTTAGAAGACGGTTTCACTATGCAGTTCAGGCTGGGCTTGAACTCAAGGCAATCCTCCTGCCTCAGCCTCCTGAGTGCTGGGATTACAGGCGTGCGCCACCACACCCGGCTTTTTACACTTATTAACCAGTGATACTTTGCTGCCTATTTATGAATAAGCACATTTTATCTCCCAGCTCTGATACATACAAGGAACAGATCAAAACATTGAGTTCCAGTCTCTTACCAGAAATCTGCTGTAAGGACAGAAAGCCTTTAGTAATTTTACAGATTGGTTCAAATTCTTTATGGAATCCGAGGAAATAAAATATTTCTTCTTAATTCTTAAGCAGAGTGAATCTCTTCAGATGATCCAAATGATCAGCTACTCTCCTGCCCGTCCTCACAGGATTCACGGTCATGAAGGCAGAGTGTAAACATCCCAAATACCAGTTCAAGTGCACATTGTCTTGTTTGCCTAAAAAGATGGGTGTGAAAGTAAACGGCTTTGCTTTAGATCATTCTTCATGTTGGCTGTATGCTAGACGCTGTGTGAGAGCGGCTGGAACTATCCCCAGCATCACTAGTGAAAATCCTCCTTTAAAGTCCTGCTCTAACTAAAACAGTTGTGCGTTTTCTCGATGATTTGTAGATGAAGCCAGCCTGTATCAAAGCCCTCACTCGTATATTTAAAATATCTGATCAAGATAATGATGGCACACTCAATGATGCTGAGCTCAACTTCTTCCAGGTAGCTATCATTGGTTCCAGAGATTTGCCTCTCTTTGTTCTTCTTTGCCAATAAAAACTGTAAACATTGCTTATTTTAAACAACATAATTGATAAAGGTTTATTTCTTTCATTTAAAAGTATCTTTCACAGCAAGCTATTTAAGCATTACGGTATTAAAAACTCCCTTACGCCTATGAATTGAGGTGACTGATAGTTTCATTTCAGAGTATACAATGGGTGTATTAATTGAAGTCTGAACTCTGAATTATTTTGCTTTCTTGGTTTTGTATAACATAGCCACACAAAGAACCTTGTGTTTTAGAAATGGGAGGAGGAGGAGAGCTGGGAAATTTATAGTAAGCAATTAAATTTTTACCTAAATAATACAGAGTGGAGGCTCTCTGAATGTAGAATTTGTTTTTTCTGGTTGTGACTTGTTTGATTTAATGTTGCTCGTAGGTTCTTACTTTATATTTTTGGTTTTAATGTTGGTTTATTTTTAAGCTTTCTTTGTGTCTTTTTGCTAGAGGATCTGTTTCAACACTCCTTTAGCCCCTCAGGCTCTGGAAGACGTGAAGAACGTAGTCAGAAAGCACATCAGTGACGGGGTGGCTGACAGCGGGTTGACGTTGAAAGGTGAGCGACTGGTGTCTTTCTGCCCTTTTGAACTTAGTAGTTTTGAAATTTGGCAGGAGGTAAAGGTCTTTGTAGCAGTATTTGTATTTTAAGGAAACGTTAGTATTTACTAATAAGTCTAAAGTCTAACTTGAATAATAAAGAGTTTATTGTCAGTATAAGTTAGAGTAGGAAAATTGGTTGGACCACAGGGATGCCAGGGTCCATCTGAGGGAAAGTGAGATCTGGAACAAACAAATTTTTTTTCTTTTTTTGTCTTTTTGACACAGGGCTTCACTATGCAGTTCAGGCTGGCCTTGAACTCACTTTGTAGCCCAGGCTGGCCTTGAACTGCAGCAGTCCTCCTGCCTCTGCCTCCTGAGTGCTTGAAACATACAGATTTATCTTAAAATCCTTCCTTCTGATAAACAAATTTCAAACAGAAATTATTTTGAGGGAGTTTTGCATGACTCAAATTTACCAAGTATAGAATGTTCCCCCTTGAATATATTTTGTAGACAGCCACAGTGAAATAAGAAGTGAAGTTGAAATTGAGACTTTGCCACTATAAAAGTAAGATCAGCAACCTATAAAACATTTTCATTTGTTTCCATCGTAAAGCTTGGTGACTATCAGTGTATTCCCTGTAATTTTGACCCTTCCATCTTGTACTTTTCTTGCTGAATTGGGTGTTTACATGAAATGACTAAAATGAGCTTTTTTACATTGAAACACTTGTGAACTTTCTTTGGTCTTCATGGTGGAGGCTAGTGTATGTGTTTTCACAGATACAACTCTTGCTGTGATGTGGAATATGCTTTCTCTTGTGTGACTCTGTGCCCTTCTTCACATGTACCGGTTTGCTTTATTTCAGGTTTTCTCTTTTTACACACACTTTTTATTCAGAGGGGGAGACACGAAACTACTTGGACTGTACTTCGACGGTTTGGTTATGATGATGATCTAGATTTGACACCTGAATATTTATTCCCCATGTATGTACCTTTGGTTTTCTAATTGATTTCACTTGGCAAGTGTTTTTAAGTGATATTTAGCATGTAAGTAGGCAGGCATCAGGCTCCTCAGGAATAATTTAAAATTATGGGCAGAAGTTTGTAGCAGAGTTTCTAGGCCTCAGCATTACTGACATTTTAGACTAAATAATTCTTTGTTGTGGAGCCTCTCACATGCATTGTGTGATGTTTAGCATAACCTTAGATGCCAGTAACACCTCCTCTGATTTTGACAACCAGAAATGACCAGATGTCCCCTCAGAAAGCACAATCATCCACAGTTGAAAACCACTCATTTATAGCATGGCTCAGTCTTCTCATAGAGAATATGGGTGCCTTTTCTTGGGGCATGGATACCAGGAATCAAACTCAGGACCTTGTGCTTGCTGAGCAGATGCTGTGCCACTGAGCTATCTCCCCAGCCCCTACAGGTACCTTTAAAAAACAAAATTCTTTTTTTTTTTTTTTTGAGACAGTCTGGCTGTATAGTTCAGGCTGGCCTTGAGCTCACTTGGTAGTCCAGGCTGGTCTTATACTCACAACGGTCCTCCTACCTCAGCCTCCCGAGTGCTGGGATTACAGGCATGTGCCACCATGCCCGGCAAAAAAAACAAATTTCATTTTACTGAAGAAGGAGAAAAAGAGATGGAAGATAAACTTGTTTTTGGAGTCAAGAGACCAGATTTATGCTGGTTAGCATTTTTCTTTCCTTTCATCAGATCTTTAATTTTATAGCTTGGTAGTAGCTCAGGATAAAAGAAGTATTTTTCCTAGATAACTGGCCTTGCTTTTCTTATTTTCCTTTGATAATGCTATTTAAATTGTTTAAAAAAGGACCCAGTGCTGCCCCACACAGAAGAAACCTTACTGCAGGATGTTTCGTCTCTACCCTGAGGAAGCAGGCTTCTTAGGGGTTGTGCCTTTCCATGACCCCGGCGTGGAGTCTCCCACCTCCCTCCCTTTTTCAGTGGCAGCTGTCTGTGTAATGGTTCAGAAAGGGTTGGTTGTTGTTTTCTCCTTCTCCGTCATTAAGGAAGCAGTTTATTTTCTGATTAGATTCCTAGTCCCCTAATCAATTCTAAATTGGAACTTCGGTTGTCTAAGGTACTAAATCTTGGCTCAAGTTAATTTCCTGTTTTTGTTTTTGTTTTTTTAAATAACAAATACAGGGGCTGGGGATTTAGCTCAGCGGCAAAGCGCCTGCCTGGCAAGCGTAAGGTCGTGAGTTCGGTTCCCGGTACCGGAGAAAAACAAAAACAAAACAAAAACATAAATAACAAATACATGCTGAATGAGGCCAGGCATGGTGGTGCACACCTGTAATCCCAGCACTTAGGAGGCTGAGGCAGGAGGATTGCTGTGAGTTCAAGGCCAGCATGGACTACATCGTGAGACCCTGTCTAAAAACAAACCAAAAAAAGGAACAAAAAAGAAAAGCGAATAAAGTTGTCCTAGAACCTTTCCACAGTTTTATTCTCTATGCTATTTAGGTGGGTAGATACATTCTTCAGGAAGTTGCTTATTGCTTTTTCAAATAATACAGGAAATTCCATCTCTTAGGGCTTTGTGGCCTACCCTAAGCATCTCTTTCAGTTGTCCTTGTATTCTCTGCCTTTAATTTTCTACATAACAGCCCTCTAGAGATCTCTCTGCTTTCTTAGTAAACTCTGTCCTCTGTCCCTCACATTGCTGCCAGCTTTTTACCACTCTACCCCACTCCACAAACTGGCTATGTCACTTCTCTTTGAGACACAGCACAAAGCCCAAGCTTCCTAACGTGGTGTGAGAGGTCACTCCTGCTCGGCTCTGCCATGCTGCGCCTTCGGAAGACAGTCCACCAAGCACATGTTGCTTCCTAGTCGTGTTTTTCCCAAACCATATTGTTTTCATTCTTTGCTCTCTCCCCCCATGCGAAGCCCTCATCCTTCCTTGGGTTACAGTGGCTCTTAGCAGTGCTGATCCCTTCCCACCGGCGGGCCTGAGTTCCCCTGTGCAGAGCTTCCCCTGGCATGCTTCGCTGTGTACTTAGCACTTGCCTTGCTCTTGTTCCGTTTGTGCTCTACAGTGAGTGTGGCGCCTTAGAAGTGGGGAGACGGCCACTATCAGGAAGACAGTAACACATCTAGCGAGGATGCAGAGAAAGGGAACTTCTCTACTGTTGGGGAGAATGCAAGTTAGCATAGCCATTGTGGAAAACAATGTAAAGGCTCCTCAGAAAATGGAAAATTGTGTTACCATATGATCTAGCAATCCTACCACTGGTTGTAGGCCCAAGGAAAATAAAATCTTATTTCAAGAGATACCTGCACTTCCATTTTTATTGCAGTACTAGTCACAGTAGTCAATATAGAATCAACCAAGTTGTCCATCTGTGATAAATGGGATTTATTTATTTTAATTTTTTTGTTTTTTTGAGATAGGGTCTTGCCATGTAATTCAGGCTGGCCTTAAAGTCACTGTGTAGCCCAGGTTGGCCTCAAACTTGCAGTGATCCACCTGCCTCAGCCTTTTTTTAAAATTTTTTTTTTTTTTTTTTTTTTTTTGGTACCAGGAATCGAACTCTGGACCTCATGCTTGCCAAGCAGGCACTGTGCCACTGAGCTATATCCCTGGCCCCTGCCTCAGTCTCCTGAGTACTGGGATTATAGGCATGTGCCATCCCGTATAGATTTTAAAAAGTGGTACACACACAGGAATGTTGCTCTGTGAGGAATATTACTCAGCCATTAAAAAGGGTGAAATATTGTCATTTACAATAACGTGGATATAGAACTGGAGGACGTATTTTTAAGTAAAATACAAGGAAGGCACAGAAAGTCAAATAGCATATATTGTGACTATTGTGGAAGCTAAAAAAGTTGGTCATAGAGAATTAAAGAGTGGAATGGAGGTCACGAGGGGCTAACAGGAGACAAGAGGAGAGGAGGATGGCTAATCATGTGTGCCAAACTTCAGTTCCAGGGGCATTAGTTCTGATGTTCTGTAGTATGATAGGGTAACGGATAGGGTAACTGCTCTAGCAAGTCGTTGTCCATTTCAAGTCTGAACTTCCCAACACATAGAAATGGTAATATTTGAGGGCATTGAAATGCTCATTACCCTGATTTGATCATTATGTTATATACATGTACAGTATCAAATGGTAATAGTATATCCCACAAGCAAGTACAACTGTTGTATGTCGATTAGAAATAAAATTTTTTGAAAAATAGTGGAAAGCCTGTCTTGTTTTCTTTTCCCTGTTACCTAGTTCAGTGCATTTGATTAATGTTAACTGAACTGAGTTTGAGGTGGGTCAAAAAGGTCAAATCAGGTAGAAATAAACCTCTTCACATCATTTTCACCTCATTACAAGCTGGCCTTAATATAAACCCATAATTATGACTTGAAATGTGCTTATAGGACGAAAAAAACCCATTACCATTTAATCAGTAGTGTTTGTAAAATTTTTCTTTCACCCTGGCCTTATGATATTTAGGAAAAATCCTCATGGTACTTGGGAATAAGGCTTATAATGACTTCTCGGAGCAGTGCCATAACCACTGCAGAGTTCTTCCCTGGGAAGGTCTGCATGGGTCCAGTGAAGACTTTTTCCTCCTGCTGATAGGTTCTCAGTTCAGTGTGGGCCTCCACAAGGTACAGAGTGCAGGGACTACCTCCTTTGGCATCCTGGTCAACGGTGAAGATACCTTGTAAATGACGTCATCTCGTAGACATTGCAATTTTGTATTCATTTCTTAAATTTTAATATTTGATTAATAGTTTATTCTTCAATTTTTTCACCAACAGGCTAAAAATACCTCCTGATTGCACTACTGAATTAAATCATCATGCATATTTGTTCCTCCAAAGCACCTTTGACAAACATGATTTGGTAAGCCTTTAGCTCTAAGACTAGTAAAAATATTTTCCATTATTATTTTCTCATGAAAAAATTCTGATAGACTTGTAGGTTTCTTATCTATTTATGAGGAATTTTCCTCATAAAATATAAAACTTCTTACAGTTTTTAGAAGAATAGCTTTGCTAAATGAGGGGGCTTTTGTGTTTGGGAATTGTTCTTTTAGATATCTAAGTATTATGTATGCTTCCGTGTGTGTATCTTCAGGATAGAGACTGTGCTTTGTCGCCTGATGAGCTTAAAGATTTATTTAAAGTTTTCCCTTACATACCTTGGGGGCCAGATGTCAACAACACAGTTTGTACAAATGAAAGAGGTTGGATAACCTACCAGGGATTCCTTTCTCAGTGGACGTAAGTATAGTTCTCACCTCTTTCTCTAAAATCACAATAGTTTAAGACTAGGGTATGTTACATTTGTCATTTTGTAAGTTTGTCAGATCTTAAGAAATGCTTCCGGGGGCTGGGGATTTAGCTCAGCGGCAAAAGCGCCTGCCTCGCAAGCGCAAGGTCGTGAGTTCGGTTCCCGGTACCGGAGAAAAACCAAAAAAAAAAAAAAAAAAAAAAAAAAAAAAAAAAAAAGAAATGCTTCGGTTATGACTGCTCCTAATCAGGACTTGTAGTATTGCTAAACATCTTTAAGTGAACTGTAAATGTTCTATAAATTTATCAGGAAGGGATTTTCTTTTGGATGATATATTGGGAAACAGTACAGAATTTTAGTACTTTTTGTTTGTTTAAGAAAATTGGCTATGTCATTGCTATTGTACAATTCTTACTCCTTCAACATGTGGGCAGGTGCATAGTTTACCGGATACTGAAGACTTATTGCATTATTTATTTATTTATTTATTTATTTTCTAGTACCGGGAATCAAACTCATGACCTCGTGCTTGCCAGGCAGGCACTGTGCCACTGAACTAAATCCCCAGCCCCTATTTATTGTTATTGTATTTGTTTGTTTGCATAGTGCTAGGGACTGAACCTAGGGCCTTGTTCATGCTAGACAAGTACTCTACCACTGTTACATCCCTAGCCTGTGTTACTTGAGTGTTTTTGTTTTTGTTTTTGTTTTTTTTTAGATAGGCTCTCACTATGTAACCCAGGCTGACCTCAGACTTGCAGCAATCCTTATACCTTAGCTTTCTAAGTGCTGAAACTACAGGGGTGTGCCACCATGTCTGGCGTGTTATTTTTTTTAATGAGCTCTTAGTCTTAATGAGGATTTCTCTACAATCTAGCTACAAACTGTTTGACATTTTGCCCAGAGTGTGAAGGGAACCTTCTGGTCTTGTATAATGACATAATTATGTTAGCCTTGGTAAGACTTAACTTTTCAACATTAGAACCAGTTTTTTTTTTCAACTACGTTTTAAAAAGCTAACTTAGGGGCTGAGGTTTAGCTCAGCGGCACAGTGCCTGCCTGGCATGTGCAAGGTTGTGAGTTCGATTCCCAGTACCAGAAAACAAAACAAAACAAAACAGCTAACTAATTTCACATGCCTTGCAGTTATTTTTATGATTTTAGGAAACCTTTTCAGAGTTGTTGAATTATTATTAAGTCTTTATTTTATTTTATTTTTTTTGGTGCCAGGAATCAAACTTAGGACCTTGCATTTGCCAGTCACTCGCTTGTGCCACTGAGCTACATCCCCGACCTCATTAAGTCTTTAGCTAGATGAAATTACAGGACATTGTATATGGACTTAGAAACCAGAGAGGATAAAATACCCCACTGTCAATCCTACGTGCCACTCTCTGTGCACCGTGTGACCTTGCTTTCTCTGGCAGGTGGAATACTTAGAAGGGTTTGCCTCCATCTTGCATTATCTTCCCTTCCTTTTCTACTTTAAGGATAGCAGTGTAGGAAGGGCACCGCTGGCACAGAGGAAGTTCAAGCGGGGTGACACACATTGTCTGGGTCTGGTGCTTAACGTTTTTTGAGCTGTTGGACTTTGTTTCTTCTGTGAATGTTCATTTAGGAAGTTTTCATCTTGTCACACTCTTCTGTTTGGTAGGCTCACGACCTATTTAGATGTGCAGAGATGCCTGGAGTATTTGGGCTATCTAGGTTATTCCATACTCACTGAACAAGAGTCTCAAGCTTCAGCTATTACAGGTAAGCATGTGGGTACTATTCATCTCATGGTTAGGAACATTTTTTGAGACTCTAATTTTAAATGTTACAGAGCAAAAATAAACTCATCTTTGACTAGGTGTGGTAGCACATGCCTGTAATCCCAGCACTCGGGGGGCTGAGGCAGGAGAATCTCTTGAGAGTTCAAGGTCAGCCTAAGCTACAAAGTGAGTTGAAGTCCAGCCTGAACTGCACAGTGAAACCTTGTCTCAAAAATAAAAAAAAAAACCAACAAAAAAATCTTCATGTAGTCTTCCAGATCTACACCTATTCTATTAGTTTTCTTCAGGATTTGGAAATATCTTTTGAATTGAGATGCTTGACTTGGTTCTTTATCAAGAAAGAGAGTAGATTTTTTTTTTTTTTTTTGTCTTTTTGAGACAGGGTCTCATTATGTAGTTCAGGCTGGCCTTGAGCTCACTTTGTAACCCATGCTGGTCTTAAACTTGCAATGATCCTCCTGCCTCAGCCTCCCAAGTGCTGGGATTACAGGCATGCACCACCACGCCCGGCTGAGTAGAATTTTTACTTCTAGTCTACTCTCTGGCATACCTCCTGGTAAAAATGAGGGAGAGCTGTGGGCTTTAAACAATTTACCATCCTATCTTGCATTTTAATTTGCTTTGAATGTTAAAAACAATACTTCGTAACATGCGGTCTTGATCTGGAAGTGATTATATACATCTTTCACTTCTGTAACCTTGTTCCTTATTAATAGATCTTTAACAGGTCTTGTAGTGTAAACCACACTTCCTTTTAAAAGCATTGTGCTCTGCTTAAAGAAAACCCATAGGTGTGGAGATAACAAATTTAGGAATTATTTCAGGAGTTTCTTCCATCCCCATTGATGGACAGTCTCCCCTATTTTACAGGAAGCCCAGGAAAACAGCCTTTCTTCAAGTACCCTTTGGAGGGCTTAACCAATTAGACAGTATTTAATTCAGCACTAGAAAGTAAGAAACTGATTTCTAGACAGTCGTGAGATTCTTTCATTGGGCAATGTACTGTGGGCATCTTTTTGTATTCATAAGTATACTTTTATGTATCTTGAATGTGAAGTAATATTGTATAGATGTTATAGTGCCTCTGGTGAGCTCTGCTATAGCTTGTATAGTCTGTACCTCAAGGAGCACTACCCCACTCATAGTGTCCCTTTTTGTTTTTTGGGGTTTTTTTTGAGAGAGGGTCTCACTGTGCAGTTTAGGCTGGCCTTGAACTCATGTATCCCATGCTGGCCTTGAACTTGCAGCAATCTTCCTGCCTCAGCCTCCTGAGTGCTGGGATACAGTGTCATTTTCTAGCCTGCTTGTTTTTCAGATTTACACTTCACAAGCCAGCTAAGTTCAGAGTACAGATCCCCTTCCCATGTATAGATCCAGCTCCCGGATGGTGCAGAAATTGAAACAGCAACTTTCTGATGCTGTTCTAACAGTTCATAATTATGACAGTAATTTATTACAGAAAAAAATGAGATGTGGTATTAACTATATTCATTGTCATTTTTATTTATTTTTAGATACTATTTATTTTATGATGAAATAAATACCATTTGGTTACTGGAGATTCACTCTACAGTCAACTTTCAGAAATGTATCTTTCCCACTAAATGAAACATTATATTTTGTGGGAGGCAGATAGGGTCTTGCTGTATAGTCCAGGCTGGCCTTGAACTCAAGGTGATTTTCCTGCCTCAGCCTCCTCAGTGGTGGGACTGCAGGTGTGCGTCACTATGCCTGGCTTGATTCATTATATTTAGTATTTTGTTTCACGTACAGCTTGACTGTTGTGTAGTATGTTTACTGATAGATCTAACACTTCCAAAAAGTGATAAATAACAGTACCTTGTTTTGTAGAAGGTGATGTGGAGGCTCAGTGAGTCTAACCGGTATCCATGTAATGTTTCTTCTTTTTTTAGTAACAAGAGATAAAAAGATAGATCTGCAGAAGAAACAGACTCAAAGAAATGTGTTTCGATGTAATGTCATTGGGATGAAAAGCTGTGGGAAAAGCGGAGTTCTTCAGGCTCTTCTTGGAAGAAACTTAACGGTGAGAGTTCAGAATGTAGAGCTTTGTCTGTACCCTGTATAGCCATGAGCTTACATAACTTTTTATAGCCGTTAATCTTTTTAGGTAATTATTAGAAAGCATTGGCCTACGTGTTTTAGTAAACTATAACTCAAAATGGAGTGTGATCCTGTTGAACTGTCTTTATCCCATTTCATTGGTGTTAGCTGCTATTTGTGTTTTTTTTTTTTTTTAATGAACAAACTAATGTTTCACTGGTCATAAGGGCACATGCCTGGAATCCCAGCACTCAAAAGGCTGAGGCAGGAAGATCACCACAGGTTTGAGACCTGCCTGGGCTACAAAATGAAACCCTGTCTCAGAAAAGCAAAAAAACAAAAAACAAAAAGAAACAAAAAACCAAAAAATGGTGTTGAGATAGGGGGTCCGTGACTACACATGTGAAGCACCTCCCGCTGTGCTTGGTATAAAGTAAGTGCACAGGAAATCTTTCAGATTGAATACTAGTTCTGATGACTGCCTGAAGTAAGACTGATACACTTCTACACGAGTTCCATGTCAGCCCAAGTCAGAATATAAGAATTGCCAGCAGGTGGCTCTAGAATATACTTTCAGTAATACAGCTTCCTTTTCAGCTAGTGCTTTCACTTTATGCAGAACAGACTCTAAAAACTAAGAAAAATAGATTCAATATACATTTTATGCTGCTAAATAGTACAGAAAAGCATGCTTTTGTACTTATAACAGTCCATACATGCATACAAGTTTATGTGTGTTGATTAAAACTATTACTGTAATTTCTTAATGTATTTATTGAGATTTTTGTTCTATTTTCAGAGGCAGAAGAAAATCCATGATGACCATAGATCTTACTATGCGATCAACACTGTTTATGTGTATGGGCAGGAGAAATACTTACTGGTAAGAAATTCTGTGGTACAAGGTTTTTTGTTTGTTTGGTTTGGGTTTATTTTGGTAGCAGGAATCAAACAAGACCTCGCACTTGCCAGGCAGGTGCTGTGCCACTGAGCTAAATCCCTGGCCAAGGCTTTGATGATTGGGTGCATTTTTAAATGACTGAAATGAAGTGACTTGATTTAACAGACGTGTGTAGACCTCTGTGGTTTTAGTTTTCCTTTTCTGGTTTATTCGGTGTAGTGTTAATTCCTTTGATCTATGAATGGTACCTGGATATAGATACAAGTAAAAATTCACCTGTCTGTCCTCTTAAATATATATTATATCTCAATAAAAAAAACTACAACAAAAAAAAAGAACTTCCTCCTTAGTCTTTCTTCCATTTCCATTTTGTTTTATTTTGTGTGGGTTTTTTCATTTTTTGTTTTTGTTTATTTGTTTATTTTTCTAAGACAGAGTCTTGCTATGTAGTTCAGCCTGGACTCAAATCGCAGCGATCTTCCTACCTCAGCCTTCCCCATGCAGAGATTATAGGAATGTGCCACCTTGCCTGGCTTCGTTCTTCCATTAAAAAAAAAAATTAATTAATTTATTTTGAGACAGGGTCTCTCTATGCAGTTCAGGCTGGCCTTGAACTCGCTTATGTAGCCCATGCTGGCCTCAAACTCACCACAACCCTCCTGCTTCAGACTCTATAGAGTGCTGGGATTACAGGTGCGTGTCACCATACCCGGCTGTTCTGAAAATTCCACTTCTAGTCAGGCATGGTGGCACACACCTGTAATCCTAGTAGTCGGGGCTGAGGCAGGAGGATCCCCACAAGTTTGAGGCCAGCCTGAACTGCATAGTGAGACCCTGTCAAAAAATTTCTACTTCTTCTGATTAAAGTTAATTTGAAAACAGTGCTGGTGCTTCTAGTTTATGTATAATCTGAATTAAGTTCATCTATTTAGTAAGAAGTAGAATAACCTAAAAAATGTATGAAAGAAGAAAGCTCATGTGGTGGCTCACACCTGTAATCAGAACACTCTGGAGGCCGAAGCAGGAGGATTGCTGTAAGTCCAAGGCTAAGCAGGGCTACATAGTAAGTTCAAGGTTAGGCTGAACTACATAGTAAGACCCTGTCTCAAACAAACTAAAAAGTATGAAAGAAGGATCTGACTAAATAAGTACTGTGAACTACATTAGAAGGAAGTCATGTTTTGCTTAGACCCAGTCATTTCAATTTTAACCTTGGCCCACCTTGATCACAAGCAGTGGCCCATTCTTCCTGAGCCTAAATTTTTCATTAATTTAGCTTCTCAAGAAGAAGCGGGTTGGGGCTGGGGATTTAGCTCAGCGGCAAAGCGCCTGCCTGGCAAGCGCAAGGTCGTGAGCTCGGTTCCCGGGACCGGAGAAAAACCAAAAAAAAAATAAAATAATAAAAAAAGAAGAAGCGGGTGGTACTGCAGGCCTATAATCCCAGCACTCAGGAGGCTGAAGCAAAAGGATCCCTGAGAGCTCATAGCTAACCTGGGCTACATAGCGAGATCCTATCTCCAAAAAAAAAAGAGAGGCTCCTAAGAATAAACACTAGAAAAAGCTCATTCTCTCTCTATTTTGGAAATAGTTTTTTCACATGCTCACCTTGAGTTTACATGTATTTTACCCTTTCTGATGGCATTGTCATTGTCTTATTAAACCTTGTTTGGCTCCTGTTTTTCTCCTGTAAGTATAGGTCTAAATGTTTAGTACTTAGTAAATATTGTTGGCTAATTTTCCAGTTTTCTTGTAGTGACACTGTTGATTACAAGTCATACTTTCCTGTGTGTGACTATGCATGCCATGGTAGTGTTTTACTTGGAACATGTTGAATCATTGCTGGCTCTGTACATTCCCTTTTATCTTCTCAACAGCATACATTATCTTGTATAATTCAGTACTGAATTTTCGTTTGTTGGGTCATTGTCATATCATAGATGGAATATTTAAGAAGTTCTATAGGGCTAGGGATGTGACTCAGTGGTAAGAGTTTTTGCCTAGCACGTGCAAAGCCCTGGGTGCCATCTTCATCACTACAAAAGTTTTACAGTAAACACTGAGAGGAGAGGGCAGTAAAGTAGAACAAAACGACCTTTGCATGAAGAGCCATTTGCTTTGTGTTTTTGAGTAGTGAGGAAAAAGGTGAGGTAGAAAAGAAAATACACTTAGGAGTTGTATCTGAGTTCCAGGTTTGGTCTGAAGACTTCTTACATATGTTACCTTTGCGCTTGACCTACTCTTCTGGCCTGTCTCCTTATCTGTGGAGTAGACAGTGAGGAAAGGCCAGCCCAATGCACGGTTCTCACTGAATATGAGCCTCTGGACAATCTTAATCACCATTTTTAATCTACAAAATCAGAAGATACTTGTTTACATTTTTACTTTTTAAAATGGTTTAAAAAGTTATACTTGGGCCAGGGATGTAGCTCAGTGGCACCAGTGCCTGCTTGGCAAGCTCGAGGCCCTGAGTTTGATTCTCAGTATGAAAAAAAGAAGTTATACTTTAGTGCTTTCATATTAAGAGCTCCAATTGAACAAATCATAAAACATCATGACTTTATACATCAACATTATGATGCTTACTTTTCTTATTTATCTTTTTCTTTTTACAAGTTGCATGACATCTCAGAGTCGGAATTTCTGACTGAGGCTGAGATCATTTGTGATGTTGTGTGCCTGGTGTATGACGTCACTAATCCCAAATCCTTTGAGTACTGTGCCAGGATTTTTAAGGTTTGTTGTTCTTATGGACTATGTAACTTTGGGGTTTTTGTAGAATTTCACTGTGTTTTCTAATCAGAAGAATGTGACAAAATCATTTGTGGAGCTTTAAAAAAATGTGTACATGTTTACTATGTGTCTAAAGTTTCTAGTTTCATCCTGCAGTGAAAGAGAATAGATATACTTTTTTTTTTTTTTTTTTTGAGACAGGGTCTCACTATTTAGTGCAGGCTGGCCTTAAACTTTCTTATGTAGCCCAGGCTGGCCTTGAACTCACGGTAATTCTCCTGTCTCAGCCTCCTGAGTGCTGGGATTACATGTCTGCATCACCACGCCTGGCTAGATACACATATTTAGAAACAACTTTTATTCCACACATGACTGTGATGTGCATTCCTGATTAAGAACTTTTGCAGTAAGGGAATATCTTTTTGGCTATTAGGAATGCATATGGATTGTATGTTGCTAGGTACCCCAAATATAACAACCAGAGCAAAGGGATAAACCACAGGCTTAGAGAGTATATCAGTCACTTTGAGATTAAGATTCAGTAGAACAAAAAAGCTATATGGAACCAGGCATGATGGTGCATGCTTGTAATCCTAGCACTCAGGAGGCTGAGGCAGGAGGATCACCATGAGTTCAAGGTCAGCGTGGGATACATAGTAAGTTCACAGCCAACCTGAGCTATCTAGCAAGACCCTGTTTCAAAAAGAAAAAAAAAAAAAAAAAAAAAAAAAAAAAAAAACAAAACTATATAAAAAGATATAGCCTAATATTGTAATAGCAAAAACTGCTCTTAAACAACCATAATAAACACTAATTTTGAAGGAAAGAGAAGAGACAGTATTACATTTTAAAATAGTTATGCCTGTCGTGACTTCACTGTAAATACATTTACATGGATATATCAAGGACTAGAGATCTTATAAAAAATGAAATAGTCTTCTTTATTGTAGAAGTTAGGTAGATTCCTTTTTATTTCAAAATGATCATTTTGTCTTTTTACTTTTGAAAATTATAGTGAATCTAAAGAATTGGGGAGAGGTATATTTTAGTTACCCACATTAGAAAAGTGGTCCTAGTCATATTTATTTTATGAGAGCAACTACGCTATCACCAGACTGCCTCTCAGTTTGTTTTCTGTCTTTGAAACCATTGTTACTTTGCCTGTCCAGGAAAAATTGTTAGTTCACATTTAATCAAATAGCAATTCTTTTAACTTGTCATCAGTTTTTGACTTCATTTTTTATTCCATAGCAACACTTTATGGATAGCAGAATACCCTGCTTAATTGTAGCTGCAAAATCGGACCTGCATGAAGTAAAACAAGAATACAGTATCTCACCTGCTGATTTCTGCAGGAAACACAAAATGCCTCCACCTCAAGCCTTTACTTGCAATACCGCTGATGCACCCAGTAAGGATATCTTTGTTAAACTGACAACAATGGCCATGTACCCGTAAGTACTTGCTCTGTCTTCATTTCCATGTTGCATGGTTCATAATAACATTGCATGCCATTATTAGCCATGAGGGAGGAATCTTGTCATATAGAAGTTGTTCAGCAACAGAAAGAGACTTTGTAATGAGAAGACACAAATTTAAACAAATGCTATTTTGGTTTGGGTGCCATAATAAAATAATATAAACATTGATTCTGACAATATTTGTATATTTTTGAGCTGCCTGTATGTCTCTTAACAGGATAGTACAATATAGCCCAGCCTCCGATCCAGCATTAAAAAATAAGTCTTGAGCTGGGCATGGTGGTGCACACCTGTAATCCCAGCACTAGGGAGGCTGAGGCAGGAGGATCACTGCAAGTTCGAGGTCAGCCTGGGCTATAAAGTGAGTTCAAGGCCAGCCTGAACTACATAGGAAGACCGTGTCTCAAAAAAACAAAAAACAAAACAAAAGAAAAAAGTTCTACTGCAATAAAATAGAGTTGGCATCATGTTGCTTTATGCTTATAAGGCATTTCCATGCACAAAGTTTTTTTTTATATTTATCTGTTAATTAATTGACCTGGGGTATATGAAAGACTAAAAGCCTCTTATTTTAAATTTATGTTGAATTTACATTTTATGTTTGAGTTCACAATACAGGAAGTCTTTAAGTGTTATAAAAATTACTTATAATTGGAATTTGACTGTATGTTTTGTATTAAGTGTTATAAGTCACAAATTTCATGTACATTTATTATATATCTATACATGCATATGTGCTACACATAACTGGTTATCTTTGTAATTTACTAACTGCTTTAAAATTGCATGATTCTTCATGGCATTTTCCTCAAGTAGAGTGTTTGTGTAAGTTCTGTTTTGTAACAAGATAAGTTTTTCAGGCAGTGCGTTTCTCAGGACTTCATAGCTTATTCTATTTATTATTAGGTTAGCCTCCAAAATATTTTTCATCGTGAAAACTATAGTATAAAATAAAGTAATTAGATGTTGCTATCAATCAAAACTGAGCTTTTCCAAGAAAGTGTTTAATTTGTACAGATTTTTAAAATCAGAGTTAACTTCATTGTTATTCATTTAACTAATGCTTTAAAAAGTACAACAAACCTTGAATTTCTGTATGTATTGGAAGACAAGTCATTCCTATTTATATAAGATAAGCAAAACCTTATTTCTGTTTTACCTTTGCTTTAAAACTCTCATGTATGTTATCTACAGAGAGGATCATTACAGAGACAGACTCTCCCGAGACATGGGCAACACTGATAGAATAGAGAATTTGAGAAAAATCTGGGTCTTTCTAAAAACTGCTTTGTAAGTTACTTTTTCTTTATGACTTCTGTGGGATTTTTGTTTACATTTTCTCATAGGATGACCAAGTCTCCTTTCTTGCTATAATTAACATGTAGTAATTATCTAGAAACGCACTGCTTGGTCAGGCTTATTGCCTAACTGTATATTATGGTGTCTTTTAATTATATAAATGTACTTTTTAATCTGCAACTGTGTTTTTAGATCCACATCTTTAAAACATTTTACCATAATTCTTGTGTGTGTATATATGATAAATGTACATACATGGGTACTTGTTCATATGGTTAATCCCAAACTACTTCTCATGAAGCATCTCCCTGTTGCTAAGCATACTTTGCATCTCTCCTTTTTGGTGGGTGGAGCCTTGTGTGTGTTAAAGAGTCAGATTCAATTTATAAAATAACAGATGGATTCCAGTATGACAGCTGGTAGTAATTTAGTAGCAATGATATGTTCACCATCACAAGTCAGGTTTTAAAAAGGAATGTCTTGAGCATTAATTCTCAAAATTAATTCTTGTTTTTCTTCATGTTGGGAATTAGGCATTATTGGGATGCTGCTAATCTCCACAACCATGCTACCGTGTGCTGTGGTCTCATCAGATCTCACAAGCTAATGCAAGTCAGATGGGGCCAGTCCTTTGACTGAGAAACCTGTAAATATGATCAGGTCTTACAGGAAGTGATGGCATTGATTCATCAGGTGGCGCTCTTCCGAGTGGGTTCTGAGCCAGTGCCTCTTCAGGGTGGTGTGACGGCTTTGTGTGCCTGAGTGGTTCTGACCACTGAGCAGTCATTAGAGACCCCTACTGTGGTAGTTAGGGCCTAGGTGAAATGGGCTGCCATGTCCCTGCCCCAACCAGTGCAACTCCACTCAACCAGAAAGGAGTCAGAAAGCCTCCCTAAATTGCATATCTAATTTCAATTGGATCCATTTTTGATTTTTGCATCTTTACCCAGAGTTTCATTCTGTCATACTTAGCTGCTGTGTTTTGGTAGCAGATGAAATTAACCTTACATTTTGTTTGAGTGGAAATGTATGAAGCACTTTGATTTCCTTTGGGAACCAGGGTGCTTGATGAATTCAAGATGATGTTGTTCATACCTTATTTGAATATACTTGTCTTTGACTTTTTTGTACCTGTTACTCTTCTCCTTCCTGGTTTTCAGGCATGTGTGTATGCTGAGGGAGGAGGAGGGGTGGTTATTTAAACACTAGCGAACCTTGTCCTTTTGGTGGGTGCTATGGCTTACTCGATTTTTATTTTTATTAATTTAGATGAGGGTGCCATCTATTGCTGTGCATATTTATTCCACTGAAACTTATATAATAATAATTCCATCCCCCCTCCAAAAAAAAAAAAAAATCAAAAGTGTTAGCTAATTTTCACTAGATTCTCTACAGGGAGGGAGGAGGAAGCTGTTACTGTCTATTACATTTTTGGTAAATGTGGAATTCTGCACAACTTTAGCATGCCCCACACTGTCCTTTTCCTTTCTTCAAAGAGTGTTGCATATGCCTAAATCTTTTTTTAAGTTGGCACACCCTAACCTGTGCCATATTATAAGTAAGAACTCAATCCTGTCCTTCTGTGTGTTTTCGCAGCCATGCCCGGTTACGCTGTATGTGCACCTGCAACAGGTGTACATTTTGCATCTGTCAGAACTTCCTCAACTCAGACTTGCTGCAATCTGTAAAGAACAAAATCTTCACTGCAGTTCTTAACAGGTTCTTAACTTTATTTACTGGGTACCAGGCATTCTGTTAAAATACAAAAGAAAAAAAAAGTGGATAACTATATATTATACAAATACTACAAAGACAACAAGCAAACTGATGCCTAACTAACTTCCACTAAAATCCTCACTGTGATGACCATGTTTAGTTTTGGAAGCATCCTTAATGTTTGTAAATTAATAGGTGTATTTTGAGGACTATAAAATAAGATTTTAGTTTTTTTCAATAGAAAATTTAAATTATCTTTCATATTAGAAGATTATATAGGGAGATTAAAATTTTTGGTTATGAGTTGTAGAAATAGAACTTTTATAGTAAGGAAAAGACGCATTGATCCACAAAAAAGATGTTATAGTATACTATACTCACTTTACATTCAAATATATCTTAGCAAAACCATACTAACATGAACAGTATTTTGGATTTGAAAAAATTCCTGTCCTTGAAACCATTTGTTAGAAATTAATTAGAATCTGCCTTGACTTTTTAAAAAGTGGAAGACTAGGCATGGTGGCACACACCTGTAATTTCAGCATTCAGGAAGCTGAGACAGGAGGATCAGTGTGAATTAAGGCCAGCCTGAACTACATATTGGTACCTGTCTCAAAAAAGGAACATTTTATTTGGAAGGACATTATTTCTGGAAATGAGGGTGATAACCAACTTTACGAACTCAGAAGAATATGGAAAAGAAAAAAGATCTGAGCTGGGTATGGTGTCATGTGCCTATAATCCCACCACTCTGAAAGGATTGTGAGTTCAAGTCCAGCCTGGGCAATTTAGCAAGACCTTGACTCAGAATTTAGAAGGGGCTAGGGATATAGCTCAGTGCAAAGGCCCTGGGTTAAATTCATACACACTCACACACACACACACACACACACACACACACACACACACACACACACACACACCCCTGTACTACTGATTTTTTTTTAGGTCTTCTAAAACTGAGGTAAAACACAAAATATTCCTTTAAAGCAATATGCTTCTTAAAAAGAAAAGAGAAAAAAAGGATATGTATATATATATATGTATATATATATATACACACACACACATACACACACACACACATTCCTTCAAAGCAGTGAACTTGGGAGGTTATATTCTTACTCTGCTCGTGCTACCTTTATTTGAGTCAGTTTTACATTTTTTGAGCATTTAAGAGCCTAGGTCAGTTTCAGTGAACCTTTCAGAGCTTTCAGTGACGGCAGCCGGCCTGCATGCTGGCTGTAGTTGGGCACCACTGGCCTAGATTATATGAACTTGTATCTGACATCAAATTTAATATGTGTCTAAGGATGAATTAGGTTTTTGAAATCATTGAGATATCATTGGGAGCTGAGCTTGATTAAGATGGAGGAACAAACTAGATAATAGATTTTGGTTAGAAATGGGTCAGTTATTTGGTCCACCAGTGGACACGTGCTGAGGACGAGACTCCACCTTTGTCAAATGACCATGGTTTGTGTCCACCAGCAGTATAGTAGTTGTATCTGTGAACGGTGAAGCTATTTCTTAGGTGACTAAAGAAACTGATTTTGAAGGCATTCTAAAAGAGTCTCGGTGATATTTTTAGCACTAGCAGCTCTAGAATAAGAATGCAGCCATCCCCAGGGACTGCTTTGAAGGGATTACCTCATTCATGCCGTGGAGGGGTTCCGCCTCCTTCCTTTGAGTGACAGCTTGTAAAGGAGTAACCAGACCGACGCGCTTTCCCTGACTGAGAACACTTGCAAGGCTAGTTCAAACCAAACAACATTCAGGAGCTCTGCTGTTGGGAATCTGAGAGCTGGAGATTCTAGCATTCGTCTGGCCTAACCTCCTGGAAGACTGCCTTCCTGGGAGAGTGCTGTTTATTTGCTGATGGCTTTCTTCTTTGGAAAGGGTTTTTGCTTTCACTTTTTTTAAAATAAAATGTCTTCCCTATCACTTTCCTTTAGTTTTAGTTCTGCCCTTTAGAACAACATACGACTATTCTACTCTGTCTCCAACATAGCAATCCTTCAGACATTTGAAGACGGCCATCATGCCTCCCCTAACTTTCTCCTCTCCAGGTAGAACATCCCCATTTCTTTCAGCCTTTTCTTAAATTAGATGTTTTAGTGGCCTCACCCTTCCTGGTTGCCTTCATCTGAAAGTCCCTTACGTTTTCAGACTAGCTCCTGAGAGGGCCACTGAGAGTGGATGACGGTGCTCCAGATGTGGTCTGGCGAGCCCAGAGGGCGCAGTCCTGTCCCACACATGGCGCAGCACCTGCCTAGTGCGTGAACTGACTGTTTGGCAGCCCATCCCACTGTCCACATATATTGTCTTGGGATTAATTGAAATCAGATTTTTTTTTCATATGAAGCCCTGTTAAGGCAGCTGTCCCTTCCTCTCAAATTGACATTTTCAGTTGACTCTTTGAACCCAAATGCAGATACCTATGTACCTCTATTAAATGTCATAATCTTCTTTTGAATCCGTTTGTTTCTAGCTCAGCCATTTCAAGCATTATTTCTATCATTTGTCCCATTATATTTCTCTCTCGGTATTTTGTTATTTGCAAAATAGATACCTCTTTCAAGTTACTGGTCAAAAATAATGTTATATGCCAAGAGGTTAGAGAGGAGAAAGAAAGTAAGCCCTGTATTTCTGCACCAGAGAATTCTGCCAGTGAGAGGTTCAGAATTTTTGGGGAGGGATTTTTCAGCCACTTAAAAATGTAGTATCATCCAACTCACATTTGACCTTTTATTTATTTTTATTTTTATTTTTATTTTTTTGTCTTTTTGAGACAGGGTTTCGCTATGCAATTCAGGCTGACCTTGAGCTCACTTTGTAGCTCACGCTGGTCTCCAACTTGGAACAATCCTCCTGCTTCAGCATCCCAAGTGCTGGGGTCACAGGCGTGTGCCACCATGCCCAGCTCAAAGTTAGTATATTTTCTCATACCTATAAGCTAGAAATAATTTAATAATAGTGTCAGCTCATCTTACTGACATCTGATAATCAAAAATGCAAAGAATGAGAGCCGGGCATGGTGATGCACACCTGTAATCCCAGCACTGGAGAGGCTGAGGCAGGAGGATTGCTGTGAGTTTGAGGCCAGCCTGAACTGCAAAGTGAAACTGTCCCCCCACCAAAAAAAAGGTAAGAGGAAAGAGTAGGAAAGATAAGTAGGGAGACCAGTGTGCTTTTAATTAATTAATCTTTTTCTATTTATGTAACATTAACATACATATAGCATGGCAATTCCATAGTAACCGCAGGGTGCCAAACCCTGAGAAATATCAGGGAAAAGAGGTCCAGTGAACTTCCTTACCCCTGTTGGTGCTTCACTCGTTTATGTGATAGTACAGTGGAATAACCAGGCCTGGTGGCACATCCCTATGGTCCTAGCACTCCGGGACGCTGAGGCAAGAGGATTGCAAGTTCAAGCCCAGCCTAGGCAATGTAGTGACTTGGTGGCACCCAGTCTCAAATAAAATAAAAAGGCCTACTTAGGAAGATGGGATGTAGCTCAGTGAAGGCTTAGGGTTCCATCCCAAGTATCACCAAAAATAATAGTAATAATAGAAGTACAGTGGAATTTTAGGGGTTCCATATTGAAGTTTGTTCAACTTGTAAAACAGATACAGGTAAGTAAGGTAGGTGGGTAGGGGCCAAAAATTCAAGTTGGAAGATCTGAATCTGTAGTGTAAATGAATGATGGGGGCCGAGGGTGAGACACAGGGGGAGCTGGGAACTGTGACAGCCCTGTCTACAAGGCAGTCACCATTTAGCTAGAGCCCCCTGTTGTAAAGACCAAGTGTTACTAGGATTTCTGGTTTTATAGAAGACTAAGAATCAAGATTTTTTTGCCAGGTGTGGTGGCACATGCCTGTAATCCCAGCACTCAGGAGGCTGAGTCAGAAGGATCACCACAAGTTTAAGGCCAGCCTGAACTACATAGCAAGACCCTGTCTCCAAAAGAAAAAAGCAAAAAAGAGACTTTTATCTGACTTCTCCTGATATTTAATGAATAACAATTTCAAGAATTTCTGAAAGTGCTAGCTGGGTGTGGTGGCACACGCCTGTAATCCCAGCACTTGGGAGGCTGAGGCAGAAGGATCATTGCAAGTTCAAGGCCAGCCTGGGCTATAAAGTGAGCTCAAGGCCGGCCTGAACTGCATAGTGAGACCTGTCTCAAAAAGACCAAAAAAAAAAAAGTGTTGTTCAGAACAGAGCATGTTCACAGGCCACCAATCGGCAGCTTCAGTCTTAGCCTGGTTCCTGAAAACAGAGGCAAAAGGAAGGCACCTGCAGAGTGAAAATGGCTCTTTTCTCCACACAATATTTTATTTCTTTCCCATGAAGAAATTTTTGGATGATGGAATGAGAAGGGGACCTCTTTTCCCTGTTATTTCTCAGGGTTTGGCAGCCTGTGGTTACTATGGAACTGCCATGCTAGATGTATGTTAATGTTACATGAACAGAAAAAAGATTAATTAGTCATTTGAAGATTTTTCACTGTAACTTGTTTATTAGGGCAGGGTGCCACTTACCAGTAAATCTTAAGTCTTTTTTGTTTTTGGTAATTAGAATTTCCAGGTTTCGTGTTTTAGAACTGTAAAAGATTCTAAATGATTTGACCTTTTTGTTTAGGCAGTTTGAGTACATGTTTGGAAAGAAACTAGCAGACGAATATTGGTATATATATACTGGACTTAAAGTAGTATACTGTTTTAGTGTACTTGTACAAATTTTGGTTGTTAGCATAAAAATCATTACCAAAAATGACGCATTTTCCCACTTTTTCATCTCTCCCCTTTCCCACCTTAATTTACTCATTCAAAATTCTTAAATACCCACTTTATATTAGCATTTGAAGATGCAGATGTTTTCCCTGCCTTTAAATGCCTTTCTAAATATTATATCATTAGGTTTTCTCTTTTAAACTTTGGTTATATTTTCAGTGACTTTAGTCCAACATGTTAAAAAAGAATGTAATAGCAGGGCGTGGT